TATTGGCAGAGCCTATTCCTTATACTAATAATAATAAAAAAAAAATAATTTTAAGTTTTTATATTTTGCTCACGTTTTGCTACTGGTTCATGTACTTTTTTCCCAATGTTTTTTATCCTTGTACTTTTATTTTTTATTATTTTATATGTCCTTCCATGAATAAATATATAAATCTTATAAGGACCTAAATATTAAAAAACAAAAGTACAAGAACTAAAAATACTGAAAAAAAAAGTATAGAGATTTATAACCAAATACGAGTAAAATATAAGGGCCTAAAGTTATGTTTTCAAAAAAAAAAAAGAAAAGAAGATCTGCATGTTTTTCTTTGTAGCCAAACAAAATGAACAGTTCATTGCCTTGAGATGCTCCTTCTAGCAATATCAATAATATCATTATAAAGGCGAGTGTTCATATGTTCACGAGTAATCAGCTTGATAGCTTGAATGCAATCCGAGATGACAATAACGTTGGGAGCCCCAAAATGTATGTTTAAAATCCATGGAACTTTCTACTTAAACGTGAAAGTTTATTTTTATTTGTCGGTGGTAAATATTGAAAGATTAGTAGTAACACTTCCACATTTTTGCGTTACATTTTGAAATGCCAGCATCAAATCTCAAATTTTTGGAGCCCAAGCTTAAAACTGTCAATATATAAGAAACACTACACAAGTATCTGTATTATTTATATCCTTATCCTTCCCTAAAGAAAAAGCATGTACACAACTTTGTTCATTCATTAGGATATATTCAGAATACATCAGACAATACATTCATAGCAAAAGATAAATTTTCTTCCAAAATCATCAGATTTCATATTCATTGAAAACATGCCTTGATTTTGTGTCACATATAAACGAGAGGCTTTACATAAATCCGAGAGTTGGCATCAAGGAGGGTTTGCATTACTGTCAACATAAGACTGACAAGTACTCTAAATAGCAACTATACTGATATATAAATTAAACATAAATTAAATGTGAAAATCAACAAGTTACTATTGCAGCTGACATGAGTAGAATCGGTAACAAGTGTCATCTCCACAACACCATAGACATCCCAGCTAGTCTAAAAAAAGAGAGAATTGAATATAGTGCATTGAAAGCTTCCATCAACAGTGCATGTGCTAAACAAAAATCATGCGCTATAACTACAATATCTATATCAATGTCGTCTTGAAGGATTCTCCGTCTGTCCTTGTTGAGGAAATTTTAAATCTTACAGAAGAAGTAATAGCATGTAAAATCACCAGAAGCCAAGTCATAATGATGGTGCAAAAGAACACTTTATGCAAAAGCCAAAAATATTTCGGTGTCGTTATTCAAAGGCACAGTTCCATGCCTTTCAGGGAGTTACACCAGTGAACAGCCTCATCATAAAAATGACCCTCAAACATTAAATACAAAACAGTTTGATGAAAATCATACTCTATTCGCAAATATTAATAATTCTGTAATCACTGATTCTAGGTCATAAGTAAAGAGCTACAAATGACTACAACTACATTTTTTCACTTCTTGACCTCTTCATATTCAGCCTCAGGAGCCTGGTCACCACCCTGAGATCCTCCAGAAGAAGATGAACTGCCACTAGAACCACCTGACATATGTGACCAATCTTGGAGACTGCCCTGTTAGCAGCATCAACCTTGGCCTTAATTTCCTCCACATTGTCCCCTGACATACTGTCCTTAAATCTGCAACTGCATCCTCAATCTCTTTGGAACCTTCACTTGGAACTGCTCACCTAGTTGTGACTTAAGCGTAGCATGAGCTTCAGGGGTCAAGTTTTTGATAAAAGACTTGGTTAGTTTAAATGCAGACAAGGTCTCAAGGACCTTCACACAAAACTTCCTCACTTCTGCCTGCCTTCCCTGTGTTTGCTTGGCATGTTTGCAACCAACTCTTTCACTAGATGAGGTAGTTTATCTGACGAAGACTTCAATATTTCTGTTATCAAATCAAGGGCATCGACTAAAGACGAAAGTCGGACTTGGCACTTCCACATTTCTCAACAAGGAAGCCAAACAAGCTATGGCCTATCCATGGTTGCCTTTTAAGTGTTTCTTTTAAGAATCCAGATTTGATCTGAGCCTTCTTATCATCGAAGTATGATACCAACACTTCACGAAAAAATTGGAAAACCCTCTTGGAGTTCAGATTCGGAGAACTTTCTAGAATCAATGATTTTCAAAACTTAGAATGTTGAAGTTTGGGCAAGGGAAGAAACCATTTTCTGCCTGGTCCAGGAGGCTGATTGCTTTGACGGATTAGATGCAGACTTTTTCCTTTTAATTGGTTTTGAAGCTAATTTCAAATTCCTTTCCAACAGAGATTGGAGGGTGGATAATTGGAGACGCCATCACCCTTTTGGACAATCCTTTGCTTTGAATATTTGTTTTTTTCAGTATTCCCCAGATACACTGTCCAAGCTGTTCACTAACTTCAGCTGTATGCGGATTAACAAAGCTTGGGCCAAACTGGAGTACACCATAAGAATCAGGGGCTTACCTGTAAAGTATATCAAAAGAGTTCACTAACTTCACCGTGAGTACTTTTTTCTGGGTTTTTTGTGAAGTGGGGTTAGCCAGGATTAATATAAATCAATAACTAATCAAGAGATAAAAGAGTTCAATTGAACTAGGTAAATCAAACTCAGCATAGAAATGTTGGAAACCTCTATCTTAATAAACCTAAAACCACCGAAAATACAGAAAATACACCACAAATGGGATTAAACAGACTAACGGAGTTGTATTGCAAGCAGAATAAGGAGCTGAAATTACAGAGTACATGAAAAAACACAAAATACGATGAAACAACACACACATACACCCAGTACAGCAACACAAACCTAAGCTACACATGAACAAATGATGAAGCAAGATGAACTTCCTCCACCCCAATCTAGCATTCGAGAGCTCAGAGCTCTCCGCACCACTCCAATTTTCAAAAATACTCCACAGTTTCCTTCTACACGAACATATAGATTTAAAAAGCCAAAAAGTCAATTGCCCCTGCCAAAACACTAGCTTTGCTCCTTATTTGATGTTTCAGCTGGTGTTTACCTACAGGATTTTCTCTTGAACCCATCTTTTCTGCCTTTTGCCATTCTTTTTATATCTCCTTTTTGTGAGTTGTCATAGTGACAGGAGATGGGGTCTTATCAGAAAACAAGGAGAAACTTCTGGATTAGAGTTTTAACTCCACGCCCTTAAAGTGAATATTTTCTAATAAATGCATATGCATCACTGAAATAATCATTTGAGACAATTTCTATGCAAATGTTTTTTTTATAGTCTAAATTCAAAGTATTTTATCATGATTTTGGAACTTTTTTTTTTGAACTATGCTAGTTTTAGCTTAATAATTTTTTAATTTGATTAAGTCAGTCGAATTTTCAAACGTAAGAAAAGAGGTTAGAATGTTTAGAACATGTGAGAGGGTAGAGAACTTAATGATACCTTGAGAGTTTTATTAATTTGTTTGTTGATTACAAATGAGAAGTGAAGAGGTATTCACAAAATTTTTTTTTAAGTTTAGAGTTTTCTCACTTTTTTAATAAACGGTAATATCAATTCAATACTATAGTGTACATCCATTGTTCAAAATATTCAATAAAGATATCTATAAGAAATATCTATATTTACAATAATATTTTTAAAGAAAATCTTCAATATATGTGTGAAATATTTTAAAATATTTTAGACATCTTCACATTCTTTCATAAGTTTCTAAAAACTTTTAATCCTTGTAGATCTCTTTAGATATTTTTAAATTGTTCCAGGTATTTCTAGAATATTTCAAACATCTAAATTTTTTTTAACATTTTGGGCTCTCTTGAATTCTTTACATCATCATTATGTCTCCAAAATAACTTAACCTCGTGGGTTTCTCATTTTTTTGAACACAAAATGTAGGAGTGTTTAGCTTGTACCCATCTTGATTGACCCGATAAAGTCCCGATCAAATTGGGACGAGTCTCGTCTTGGCCCGAAAACAATCGAGATGAGATGGGATATGAATTACCATCGGGACGTCTTATCCCGTCCCAAATATTATATATATTATTATTTATTTTTAAAAATATACATTAAATATATTAATTATATTACTATAATTTATACTTATATTAATTATATCAATTATAATTTTAATACTTGCAATTATTATATAAAACTAAAATTTTTATATTGATACTTTTAATGACATAAAGCAAATAGGACGATATCTTTTTTATAATATATTAATTATATTAATACAATTTCTTCTTATATCTATCTATTTAATAATTTTTATTTATATCTATGTCTTGTTTTATTTTTGAAAGAGTAATTAGCTTAGTACATCTTAACTAAAGTAAAGAACAATGATTTGATATTGTGCTGAACATGTCTATTGTTATTCTTATAGTATAGAGATCACTTGTAATTGCTATCATAACATGTAGTTGTGATTAATATAATTCAATAATTGATTTTAAATTGTTGTGATTTATATACTTGTATTGTTTTGATTTTAAATTTCATAAATTATATGATCTAAAATTTTAATGAATGTTATTAATAGATCTTTTTTCGACATTATCTGATATATTAGGATGATGGGATGTCTTGATCTCGTCTTGATTCCTAACGGGACGGGACTATTTTCAGGATAGGACGGAACACGAGACAAAAATTTAATCAGATCTTTTTTCAAGATGGGCCATGAGACAGGAATGTCCCGATCCTATCCTGTGAACACCCTAACAGGATGTGATAAATTGCTTTTATTTTTCACCACGGCTGGTGAATGTAAAAAGTTGGCCCACCATATTATTAACAGTATAATCAACCTGGACTTGCCTGGATTTTCATGAAGGAAGATCTCCAACAATGAAAGGATCCGCAACTTGAACAGCACAAGTTGGGAATGAGCAGTTTCATCACCAGCCTGATTCTTTCTCTCCTTGAAAATCTGGGCAAGATATGTATCCATTCTAAACATTGCATCATCATCCATACCATCATCAGAATCATCAGAAGCTTCAGGATGATATCACCCCTCTCCTCAACCTCCACTACTGCCTCTGAGTCATTGTTTGCCCATCACTCTCAGAAGTTTCACCCATCTCATCCTGATCAATTTCTTCATCTTCAAAATTGATAAAGTCATCGTTGTCGTCATCATCATCTTCATTCTCTCCACCTGGATGTCTGGGAGGTTTTAGACTTTTTCTAATGACGCGCAACATCTTCATGAGTCCATCATCAGTGACATCATTGCAAAAATATTTGAATACCTGCATATAGAGAATGTTAAATTATGGTCCTAATAAAAAATGTAACTGGGTAATGATTAAATTAGGGACCCTTCAGAAGGAAACCATAAGCTACATTACAACTTAGCAATTAGAGAGATCTTCTCTTCTCTTCTCTTCTCTCTCTCTTTTTTTTTTTTTTTCAGGTACTTTTTTCCCGGGGGGTGTGGTGAAGGTGCCCCCGCGCCCAGTATATCTTTGTGCATTTGAGTGGTAGTATTATACAATTCCACACCAGTATTTACCTAATTGTCCTTTGTCATGATGGCGTAATACTAATGGGCAATCAAAGACAACAGACCCATTCTTACAATCCAGTATCAAAGCAAGATGCACTAAGTTTAATTTTGTTCTTGTTTAATGCATATGGAGCTATATATATATATATATGTAAGTATACATTGCAAGTATCTTAATAAATGACTTGAGGTAAAAGATTTGGTAAACAACATTGTCAACAAAAAATTGATGATGTGAAAACTGACAAGGATATCTTCATTTCACGATGTTTTAGACTCGCTTAAATAAATAAGCAACAGTACTCTACAGAAGAACCATCATTTTGGAAGTGTGATAGCAAAAGAAGTTGGACATAGCATGGGCAGTTAGCACAGCAAACCACTTTACACACGACAAGACTTTGAATAATGAATGGAGTTTTTTGAAATGGGATGCTTAAATATCAGCTGCAAGGAAGAATTTTTTACATGAGAATTGGAGTTCTCGTGGATGCAGAATAAACAAGATCTCTAAATGATTGAAAATCCACAAATGGCTAGTTTGCTTTATTGGTGGCAATGTAATAACAGGGAAGAAAAGACGCAATCTGTGATAGGCTGATGCCAAGGTTGTGTGTAATGAGATGGAGATGGATCAAGGAGAATCTGAACTACTTAGAGCTAAATTTATTAAGGATCTTGGATTGGTACTTGGAAGAATGATGATCAACCACTAACCTACAGAGTAACAAGGTGACCATAAACATCACTTATAGACTTGGATCTTGTCAAAAACATCACTTCTAACCGAATGTCAAAAACAAATTGATATTGTCTTGGATCTTAAGCAAGTGGTCACAACCTTTGTAAAAAAAAGAACGTCTTGCCAATATCTTGGCTAAGAGATTATATAGTTACTAGTCTCCTGCTATCTTAAATATTTCAGAGATAGGCATCAGATGCATCCATACAACAATGGGAGGATCATAGCAATGAAACTAAAATCAAGGAAAGTCCGTGAGAGCTAAACTAAGTAGTGATCTTGAAGCGGAGCAGCAATACTTAAGTCCTTTCAATAACCCTGCATATTTAGATATAAATAGCAAAAGAAAAACAGTATAGCTCAACCTATAAGCCTTTCTCATCTCATATCGCACCTCCATGGGGAAAACATACATATACATATATTTTATAGGGGCGTTAGAACTAATATTGTTAAATTTGGGAGTGTATATTTATGCATTATACATATAAACTGGACAAAAATGAAATTTTTTTGTTCCTCTATGTTGTGAGTAGGTACGTCCTTGGCCCCCCCACCAAAATAGATAAATTTATTTATATTATTTCAACTCTATTCTCTACAAGATTTCTGCTTTTTTGGTGAAGATAGATGAGGAATCTTATGTACCTAACTAGTTTTTTATTTTTCCATTTATAGTTAAAGGCTTCTAAAGCTGGCTGGTTCACATTAAATAAAGTTTAGAATACCTGCCTACCATAAACATCAAATATCATTCCGAGGTGGTTAATGCATATAATTAGCATACAGCATTACTAAAGCAGAATGCTGAGACGAAACATATGGCCATTAAAGATGCGCCAAGTTAACTCAAAAAGCTTAAGGTATTAATTTAAAGCTCTTGACCAGCATTAAAATTTTGTAACATGGCTCTTCTGTAAAAAGCCCCTTTCAACTTTTAGAGTGAACGAAGCACAAGGCTGCCACACAAAGTTCTGAAAATTTTTAATTACCAGAATTGATAAAACTCCTCCAGACCACTAAGCCATGATGACTTGTTACATTATTAAATTTACTGAAGCATCATGACTTGTTATATTATTTTACTTGTAAAACTGCTAACATTGCTTCTTAATCTCCTTGCACTACTTGTTAAGTTAATAACATTATTTATTTTTAAACTTTAATGCAATTTGGTCACTCTGCACTAAAAAGTTCATTTCAATTATGTCCTCTAATCCAGCAGTGGTTTTTCAGATAAAATTCTCGCTATTCTTTAACCAAGTTGAAAATTATGGAAATGAGTGTCAAATTTTAGTTTCCTTGGTTTTATGTTAGATCTTGAAAGATCACAATTAAAGTCTTAAGTGTCAAGTTTTGAAATGTACTCCCTGAATCAAAATATAAGGTATTAGTAACCAATTCCCATCCCTCCCTGTTATAGAATGCTTTTTGGTAATTTTTTTTAGGTCTTGATGTAAGTTATTATACAAGAGTTTGTATTTGCATAGTATTAATTATTTTATTTTAAATATGTTATTCTTCTCAATTTTTAATGAGAAGATGAATGATATTTTTTTTAAATTTATGATATTTATTGGTTATAAGGGACTTATAATAAGGATGGGAGTTAGTATAATTGTGTTATTATTATTGGGTTAGATAAACTGAGTGTTTTGATAAAATTTAAATTTCATTTACTAAGAATAAAATACAGAAATAATCTAAAGAGATATTTTGAGAATACCATTTTAATAAGGTTTCTATCTCTGTAGTATCAAAACATTTAGATGATTAAGGCCCAAAAAAAAAAAACATTTAGATGAGCAAAAGAGACAACTTTATACATACATGATGAAAAGGAAGAAAACGCTAACACCAAAACAATAAATATCATA